ACTGTCACATCAGGCTAATATTAAGCTATTAGTAAGCCCCCGCAACAAATACCTTGAAGTCAGCCGAAGAATCACTTCTAAGATCCACACGAACAGTACTCCAGGAGGATGATGAACTAGGATCTGAGATTGATGATGAATTCCAAAGCAAAGTGGGTTCACTACACATCAAAAGTAGGGGGGTTAGCTGTTAGAGTGAGTTAGCGATCACCTTACCAAACCTCAAAGGCTCGCCTCGTGAGTGCGTCTATCATTTTCTGACAGTTTCTGCGAAAAGGAACACAGAAAAACATCAATAAGCAGCATAGGACAACAAAAATGAAAAGGATTAAGAGAGGTAACAGAGAGGAGGGAAGGCTAGAGAAGGGAAACAAAGAAATGTCCCAATAACAAAGAGAATTGACTCCTAGAAGGGACTATTAGATTAGAATGCTAGTGTAACGACTACGGCAGTCGAATCGCTACTACTTATAGTACGATGCAATTTTCAAAATCTATAAAAATATGGTCACAAAAAAATTCGAAATTCCTGATAGATTCAAGGAAACAAGTACCCTCAAGTCAGGCCCATGCTTGTGAACTTTAATTAAAGGAGAAGGAATGGCTGTCAAGGTCAATTACTCGAAATTTCATAGTAGTCTCCTGACTACTAAACATTAAATCAATAATAAGTACGTAGACATTAAGAACATGAAGTCTTCAATTATTTTATGGAACAGAAACGTCACATACCTTGAAATCATTTAAGGGAGACTTGCCCTGAACTAGATCAACACGAGCTATATTCCAAAGTTGATGCCCGTTTGACAAACCCGAAGTATTCCACAAAAGCTCATTGGTACTAGATGATCAAAGAGGTTAGTCCTAAAACAACTAGAAACAAAAGCCTACCAAAAGGTACCGATCTGACCCGACTTCTCGTCCCTTATCACTTGACAAGCACTTCCGAGGTTAAAAGAGAAGAAAAGTTTGATTGAGGGCGGGAACCTAGAAACTATCAATACCTGCCTACCCCATATGCCTAATCTAAGTCCACCTAAACCCCCTAATTCAAGCGATCGAAGTTAGCAGCCATTCCATCATACACACCAAAGATTAAGAAGGGAGACAAGAGACTGCGATACCTTAGTTGCCCTACAAGAGAAGAAACTAATCTAATTAAGGCACCTATGGGGTCATAAGATAGCAGACTATCACGACAAACAGAAGTCCAAATGAAAACGAAACGACAGACACACACACCTGGGATTTTGCACACCAAGAATGGAAGGATGAAATGGAAAGCAAAATAGGAAGAAATATAATGTTTAAAAAATGCATAAATATGACGCATACAATTATTACTTTACTTTGGGTTAATGAAAAACAAAATAGCAAAGCTAATAGAGTGGCCTAAGATGCCCTTAAGCTAATTCTAATCTAGAGGGGTCCCATTTCATACCCCGACGAGTGCAGTTGAAGAGAAAGGAAGATTTCATTAATAGGACTAAGAAAGTAGTCAAAGCGGAGGCACCGAATACTAAGAATGGAAGGAATATCATGGCTCCAGAGTCGAGCACTATGATTACTGGACATGAATGCATGAAAAGTTGACGATAAAATGATGGGACGCAAACACATAGCGTCATTTAAAAGCTGCCATTTTGCTGAACTATCACGTGGATCAGGCATCCAACTTGAAGATCCATCAAAGTTACAATCCAATGATGATTTTGAAGGTCGAAATTCGCCTGAAATGGTAAAATATTCAGAGATTAGAATGGAAACTTGGAACAACCTGAACACTCGTCGGGGTAGGCTAAAAAGGAGACTAAGCTAGAAGCTTAAAAAAAGAACTTCAGAGGCCTAGAAGAGGTAACTAAGAAGCGAAACCCCCAAAAGTCGAGCTGACGAGAAGCGACAGGAAGTTATTCACAGCGTATTTCAGCAGACGAATCATCACCTTAATGAATGGCTCATTAGACTTAAAGCGAAGAGTTCGTCAATTTCAACTGGATCAAATTTGAACAAGAACTTGACACATCGTGGTGCGGAATCGCCATTTGCGATGCGATATTTCGGGCTCCATAATTTTGCCCTAAGGGAGGTTTCTTCCATGCTGCTAGAGCCAAAATCGACGTCATCTTCAAAATCATCTTGATTTGAGAAGCGCTTCGTTGCAGAAGGAGACAAACAGAGAATGTTCGATTTGAGATTGGAGTCTTCGATGATACTCCAAGTTACTCCATTGTCTCTAGGATCGTCTTTCCATCCGCAAAATGTTCTTGATCCTTGAGTTTCAAAATCGCAGGAGAAGAGTGATAGGTTGAATGCTGAAATAGATAAAAGATTGCTTCTTAGAAGATGATGATTGGATAAAAGGCGCTTGAAGCGTCACAAAAGCCTCCCCATTGGAGGAAGGAAAGAATATTTTATTTGACATTTCGGCATTTCTTCCTATATTTCTTCAAGGAGTATTCGAGAGAAGCGGTCATAGTAGCTTCCAAAATTTAAATAACGCCGATTGTGAGTCCTGGAGTATCATCATGAAAGACTATTGGAAGAATTGATTAATAACAGATGACAGAAAATCGTTATTCGTTAGGTCGATATGAACAGGGAAGAACAAAATCCTCTTCCAAGATGTAGACTAGGTGAACGAATTATTTCCAATTAATACGCATTATTCGCCATTTTCAAAGAATAATTTTGTGAAGTTCGTACAAGATACCAGAAGTTTTAATTGCTAATAATAACAGCGATTTCAGTCGACTTCTTGCATGATTGAGGAAGCAGCGTGACGATTGTGAAGCGTTCTAGAATTTTCAGCTGTCAGGATTAATTTTTAAGCAATATTCAAAGACCAGATTTAATCATTCATAAGATTGGACGAATAAATCCAGTCATCAGGTATTTCAGCTTTGTATCAATCACCATCTTGATTGAGGAAAGAAGCCCAAGACTCAACATTCATACTAGAAGGGAATATGGTATGATAGAAGATTTCAAGTTCCACTATTTGTTGGCCTAACGGCATTAATTAGTCAGTTGGGACTTGAATGGGAGCAGATGGTACTTGGCCAAATGCCATTAGACGAAATCTGCCATTCTTACCCCATTTGCTTCTGTTGAAGCGACAGTCTAGAAGACTGATATTGCAGAGCACGACTAGAAAATGAATAGCTAAATTGGACGCATTTCAATCTACTCCCTCCATTCAAAAATGGACCATAGATGCTGGCTGACAGTGACTTTTGCTTTCCCGAAACAGGGCGGTGTTGCTTAAGGCAGAGAGTTAAGTCTGGATCGACATTCCATGTTGCGAACCAATTGTTTGGATCATTTGTCCATTCGCATAGAGTTCCATTCTCAAATCCGCATTTAATTGAAGATGCATCTAAGGATAAATAGAAAGAGGTCTATAAAATGTGTTCTGTTAAAACCCAGTACCTATATAACTCAAATCTTGTGACAAATGAAAACCAGATGTGAAAGTCTCCGCACTTAAAAAAAATCACCCCGAAATCGAAGATTAAAATCGGATCAATTGGACAGATCCAATCCACCAGTGAATGAATAAACAGAAAGACAAAATTCCAGAATACCTTGCCGAATGACGCATAACACTAAGACTTGATTGCTGATCACTAGTCCATTGATCAAACTTATATAAGAACTTGATGCATTGGGGAGCGAAATCGGATTTAGTCGAACGAAACTTTGGACTCCAAAATTTCGCTCTCATTTGAGAATCATTAGATTTGCCAAAATCGTCTTCATCTTCATTGAAATTGGGCCCTGGGCTTGATGATGGAATCAAGCAAAGAGTGTTTGAATTAAGAGTAGAGTCAAGTGAAATACCCCATATTGCCCCATTGTCTCTTGGATCGATATTCCATCCACAGAAAGACTTGCTTCCAGGAGATTCAAAATCACAGGCGAATAGATTCAGTTGGTAGCCTAGGCGAGATGAAGAAACGAGATTACTTTATTACCCTCATTTTCATACTGAAGGCTTGACAACCCAGCTGGAGCGTCATTACCACAATAATTGACAGACAGACCAACTGCCTCTTAAAAATTTGGTAAGATGACGCATATTCTACCAATGCATGCGGCAAAGGTAAATGGTCTCACAATGACAATTTCAGTCGCAAAAGGCGCGCACGTGCGTCACAAGGTGGACCACGATTGGCTGTATCCTCAACGAATCAACGAGAAGCATGACTCGTGCTTATGGCAATGTGTTGGCGTTAGTTTTCCTCCCAACTTGGCATTGGACAAGGAAGACAGCCAACCAGAATGGAACACATCGTTCCAGCTTAAAAACTTCTACCGAAAAAGTAAAAGGGCATGAACATACACCCCTTCTGCCTCTAAAAGTGGAGAAAGGCTAAAATAACTCGAAATTCGGCCTCCAACACCGAAATGGGGGGAAGAGACTCGTACAAGGGGTCGTAGCGAAGGCACAGAAGAAATAGCAGGACTCGAAAATAAGATAAGCTTAGAATCTCTTTACAATAAAGGAATTGATTGCCGATTGAGTTGTGATGTTTCGTACGAAAATTTTTCCACTTTGTAGTCAATTATCACCACCGTGCTTTCATTCTTCCAGGTCTCAATTAAGCATCCAAGTTATGAGAAGTGAAAACAAAACCGAAAATTGATCGAGTCATAGAAATCTAACTAGAATACGAGAAATCGAAAGTAGAAAAAATTTCAAGGAAAAAAATGGAGTAAAAAACCTCACAGAAACAATAGAATTCAGAATAGAGTAGAATAGGCACCCTTTTTGACGCTGTAACAAGCCCAAACTGAAGGATTTTGAAACCTTCCTGTCGGAGCCAGAATTGAAAGAATAAGCGAGGCTCAGACAATGCATATTAAGTCGCCCGGGTATTAGGGGACTCAAGAGTCGAGCTTGAATGGCTGTTTTGGAAGATATTTCCTCTTCTGCTAATAATAACGACTGGCGACTTCGTTGGGAAGCTTTCGCGCTGAGGCAAACCATGTTTTCTTTGCTAATTTTTATATTCTTCCACTTCGCTAGCCAATTGTCGCCGTCGTTTGTCCAGTCCTCTAGGTCCTCCGTGAAGCTCCAAGTTAAAAGCGGCTTTAGTGAACCTAGAGATGAAGATAACAAAGATAATTCGTTACTCAGACGAAATGTTCAAACAGATCTCAGCATTTTTATCAAACCCGCTGCGCAGCAATGAGTAGAGAAATAGAAAAGAAACTCATTTAACCGGAGGACATGGCTTCATGTTTGCATAAATTTCATATAGCCGACAGTTCTGGTGATAAATGTACATAATAAATAGATCAACGCGGGCGCAGAGATAGACCAATTGCAGTTTGGAATACTCTTCCATCAGATTTGCCAAGATTAAGGATGTATTCAACAATCAGACATCTGCTCCAAATTTTGAAGGTACCTTTGAGTCACTGGGCCGAGCTAAAACGTGAATGGATTCCGATCCGTCTATATTCATTTTAATCAACAATGGGCCTTTCTATAAAAATGAAAGGATTCAAATCCCCAATTTATCGCCAGACATGATCCGTTTGAAACGTTACTCCAACGTCCAGCGTTAGTTATCCGGTCATTCAAGCCAACATCAAACATCAAGACGAGAAAATAAAAGATTGTCTATCAAGAAGATCTGCATAGACATTGTCAATAATTTTCAACCATAGAAAAACGGAAAGACCTCAGAATGACCAAAATATAGAATAAGAAACTACAAAAACCTCGATTAGAAAGTAAAAAGTTCAGGCACCTATCACGCTTCTCAAGAATCGACAATGAAGCTCCAGGAATGAATGATTCATCACTAGAACCAGAAAATATCCCATAAGTAATAGCCAAGCATTGCATATTGACTTTGCCCGGAATCTTGGGACTTCGAAGTCGGGCTTTCGAACCGATGGATGTTTCAACTGATTTCGCTTCTTCATTCATCCATACTGGTCTTCTTGGATCATTTATGACAGAAGACGGTGGGTTAGCCGACAGACAAACTGATCGAAGAGATGGCATCGACAACCATTTCTGACTTCCAACCTCATCATCGTTTGTCCAGTATTCCAAATCGTTGTTAAATGTCCAAACGTGGAATACTGGAGAGGCATCTACAATTGTGAAAATGGAGACAGAATTAGAAGGATTCCGATCGAAATGACATTGACTCAGAACGTAGTGACTTTGAGCGAATGGAAGGACAAGGATCAGGGAAGGAGAAAATTCACCCAGAAAGAAGTATCTCAGCTTGCACCCAAAAGAGGTGGCAACAAATTTCACTAAAATCCACTATCAACCCAGTTGTTATTTTAACAAGACCCAAGAAGCAGAAAAATGCAAATCACCCATCCTGCTGCTGCAAAACAGCTAGACTATAGGTATTAGTTTCATCCGAATCAACTAGAAAGTTGTAGTCAATCGTGATACAACGCATTCCAGCCGTATCAGGAATAGGTGGGCTCCAAAGTGGTGCTTTGGAACTTTTCGGGACTTTGTTTCCTTTCTTCGGCTTCATGGCGAACCAAGGCATATCATCGCCGGGTGCATCAGGTTCCATGGGGATGTTCTTCAAACAAATAGCTCCATCAACAAGCTCCCACTTTTGATTCCAATTTGCTTGATCATTAGTCCACTTTCCCATACTTTCATCGAAGGTCCAAACGAAGAAAGGCTTTGGCACATTTTCGTCTAAAGAAAACAGAGGGGTAAATTGAGTAGAGTTGGCGAGTGAGCACTGGTAATCACAGAGAGCAAAATTGTTGTCAATAGGAGTGCCGAATAGAGACGGATAGTTGTGTAATTTCACTCAAAAAAAGCTGAATCACGGAGAGATAAATGATACTGCAGTAGGGACACCGGGGAAAAAATTTACGATCAAGAATAGGGGAGTTTAGTCGAGAGCTACTCAACAAAAGGAAAGATTTGTTTACGACTCGGAAATAAAAAAGAAGCAATCAGGCAGAAGAGTTCAGGTTCCTTCGAAACTATGTGGATTTTTTAGTCCACTATAATGCTACGTATTTCAGCGGCTTTTGGAAGAGGCGATCTGGAGTTCATAGAAGTCCTGATATCTGTTTTGAGCATAATATTCAACCCGGGCATATCACATTCAGCAGTTTGTCGTACGCTTCAAACAACTAAAACACCACATGTGAGTTCACATTCTGATTTCAATTAGCCGCACCTATTGTTCATTTTCAAATGTTTTAATTGAAAATCCATATGTGGAAAGGAGTCAGAAGAGCTGCTTCTGAAGGAAATAGAAGTGCAAGCTGAATGGACTGGAATTATCTTTGTTTGACAATCATGAAATATCAATAAAGGAGATCTAAAGGAGATCTGAATGAAGATAGGTGAGAAGCTGGAGTTCTATTTAAGGATGAATGAATGTAGGAATGGAACAAACATTTCACTAATTAGATTACAGTGATGAAGTGCCGATTTCGGAAATTGTCATCGATCCAAAAAGGATTCAACGAATTTTAAAGAACCAAACAATTTGTGTAGAAAATGATGTAAGAAGTCAAAGTAAAGAACTTCGTGACGGAAAAAAATTCATTTAAGCCGAAAGTAGTTGGGATGATCATTCATCCCGTTGCTGTAGCACAACCAAACTGCAATTTTCCATCTCCTTAGCATCGACTTTTTGTGCTCTGAGGTTTACTTTCCAGTTCAGACAGAGGTCTGAACAACGGCAGGTCGTTCATTTCAGCTTAACATCCAAATTGAACATTTTGCAAAGCATAGACCTCCTCTAGAAGTTTATATATTTTTGATTTCAAATAAAAACATCATTGGATAAGTCGAAGAACTAAAAGAGCTTCAAAAGCCTATCTAAAGAAAATAAAAAAGAAAAACCTTCTTGATATACTCGTTGATATTAAAAACAAAGAGGCCGGAGACAGAACTAAAAATTCAGCAGATCAGATCACCACAGATCGGAAGGAAGAAATCATACCCACACTAACAATGCATAGTAGCAATAGTATTATGCTGCATTTGCTTATTAGGGGGGAAATAACTGATCATTATACGTAATCACCCATCTTGTTGCTGTAATACAGTTAGACTATAGCCGTCTGTTTCGCCCGAATCAACATTGATGATATAATCCATTATTAAGCAGCGCATCCCTATCGACTTTCGAATTGGTGGACTCCAAAGCGGAGATTTAGTGCTCTTCTGGGATACTTCTTCCACCTTAGGATTCACAGCTAACCATGGCATGTCCTCCTCGATGACTTCAGTATCTGCAGGAACATTTTTTAAGCAAATCGTACCATCCACAAGTCCCCACTTTTGATTCCAATTTGAGAGGTCATTGGCCCACTTTCCCATGTTCTCGTTGAATGTCCAAACGTAGAAGGGCTTTGGAAGTGAGTCTAGGCAAGACAGAAGGAAAGTCGTCCGTGAAATAGTTATCTTAAAAACGCAACCAATGATGTCTACGGACATATTTTAAATTTCGGACAGAAACGTCTTTAACAGGGACGATAATATGATGATGGACAGTCAAGAAACCAGTAGAATATATCGGTTGGCTCGTAATATGTTTTAGGAGACCCAAAAATCAAGAAAAAAGAATCAGAACTGAAGTTAAGCGACTGCGATATAATTATTAGAGTGGAGGATAAACTGTTGAATAAAGAGAGAAAGATAAATATTGAGAAACTAATCACCCATCCTGTTGTTGTAATACAGCTAAGCTGTAGATTTCGGAATCATCTGAATGCACATGAATTCCATAGCCAAAAGTTATGCATCGCATTCCAATAGTTTGTCGAATTGGAGGACTCCAAAGCCGTGCTTTGGTAATTTTCGGAGTTTTAGGTTCCACGGGGGTATCAACTGAAAACAATGCGATATCCTCTTCATCAATTTCGGTTTCAATCGGGATATTCTTCAAACAAATAGAACCGTCATCAAGTTCCCACTTTTGATTCCAGTTCGATGCGTCATTAATCCACTTGCCCATGTTTACGTTAAATTTCCAAACGTAGATAGGTTTCGGTAGGGCTTCTAGGTAAAACGGAAGGAATAGCATCGATGAAATATTCATCAACTGACATTGAATTAGTTATTTCACGTATCAAGGTGACTTAGCATTGATTTGGACAAGGCAACGATCAATCAAATAAATGCTAAATGGTGGGCCAATGGGGAGGGCGTGGGGGGTGATCTTAAACTAGTCAAAATTTCTTAAAGAATCCCTCAAAAATGAAAATAAAACTGAAAAAAATTAGGAGAAATTTCGAAAACACCAATATTTCATAATCTAAAGCAAATTGCCAAACTGAAAGTAGTATATTCATTTGAGTAGGCCAAAACGTTATAGCCTATCGTAGGAGGAAAGTTGCAAGAGCAGAATCCAGAAAATGAAGCGAAAAAGTTGGAGAAACGGCTGACTATTTACCCATCTTGTTGCTGAAGCATAGTGAAACTAAAAGATTCAGCTTTCAAAGACACGTCATGAATTTTATAATCCATTGTGATGCAACGTATCCCAATATCTTGTGGAATAGGTGGACTCCAAAGGAGTGCTTTGGAATTTTTCGCAATTATCTCCTTCTCCTTCTTTTTCGCAACAAGCCACGGTGGACTTTGATAAGTCTTCGTTGGTTTGATTTGGACATTGCTTAAACAGAGAGATGCATCTAGGAGCCCCCACTTTTGAAGAAAATTTGCTGCATCGTTTGACCATTCCCCCATTGAATCATCAAACGTCCAGGTGAAGTAGGGACTCGGTAGACCATCTAAGGAAGATGAATAAAAAGATGTTGGAGTTTTGATCGGACATTTGATGGAGATTTTAAACAAACTCATTTTGAATAGTCTGAAAAGAATTCAAAGCAATGGAAATTAGTGCCCACAAAGTCTGGTGGAGAATTTCGGGCAACTGATAAAGCGGATACAGAAAGATCCAGTAAAGCCTCAACTGCAAAGAAAGGAATTTAGGAGCCGGAGTCAGGGAGCAAGAAATAGATCATAAATGAAAAGCAAACACCATTAATTTCTGTAATTAGATCGATGAGAAACGGAAACGTAAATTCTTGAGCAAATTGTAGGAGATCAATAAACTGAACGCGAAGAGGAACATGGAAATAGGATCGACAAAGAGCTTCGGAAAAAAACAGAATTCAAGAAAACTGCAAAACCACTTATTGACATTGATTAAAATCAAGGTTAGTAATCACCCATCCTGGTGTTGAAGCATAACCAGACTAAAAGGCCGAGAAGCTGTCATTTTCCCACTTATTTGATAATCCATCGTTATGCATTGCAGACCAAGATCCTGCGGAATCGGGGGACTCCAAAGTTGTGCTTTTGAAGTCTTTGTCAACTTTTCCTTCTTCTTTTCCGAAACCAGCCAAGGAACACTTTCAGAAGGCTCCTTAGGTTTCATTGGAGTGTTTCTCAAACATAAAGCTCCATTGCTAAGCTCCCACATTTGTAGCCAATTCACCGCATCATTTTTCCAATCTCCCATTGATTTATCGAATGTCCACACAAAGTAGGGCTTCAGTGGTGTACCTAGGGAGACAAAACGAGAGATAAGAGAGCTGTCAGAAGAATGTTGATCCACCAAATCTGGGACGTCGATGTGATTATATCATCGAATAAACGATTAAAAGACGGAAATCTCGGAAATAGAGAGAAAATAAAAGGATCCAGAATCATCGGAAAAACCCCAATAGAATTCAGGAGAAGCACAAACATGGCATTGACTAAAAACAATCAATCACCCATCCTGCTGTTGCAGTATAGCCAGACTATAGATCTGAGTCGTCTGTGGTGCTGGACTGAATCGATATTTCAGAGTTAGGCAACGCATTTCACTGTCTTGCGGTAACGGGGGACTCCAAAAAGAAGCTTTCGTGGTTTTAATAGTCGCTTCCTCCTTCTTAGCTTTAGAACTTGCCCAAGGCTTGTGTTTGGAAGGGATCTTTGGTTTAACGGGAACATTGTGCAGACAAACAGACCCATCGATTAATTCCCATTTCAGATCCCAATTAGATACATCGTTAGCCCAGTCCTCCAGTGAATCGTCAAAATTCCAGATGTACCAAGGTTTTGGAAACGATTCTAAAGGAGGAAAAACAAAGGGCTGAAATTTAAAAGTCCCTAAGAAGAAAGATTTGGAAATAGAAAGAATTCGATACAGAAAAACCAGGAAACCACCATCTTCGTGTTACAGCAAAGGCAGACTTAGTAGCATGAGATGCGTTGGAGCTTTCAATTATTGGAGACTCAAAATTAAAGAACGGAATTCAGAAGAAGAGAGCAAAGCAAATCCTCCCGAATTTCGGAAATCGTCCCCATGAAAGGTACAAGTGGCTGCAATAAGCGCTTTCGGAAGATTTTAACAAATATTTCAAAGATCAAGAGCCAAACTGATAATCACCAATACATTGAAGGAAATAATTTAGTTCCATTTTCACTTTTCCTAATAACAAAATTCATGAAGAGACATGTAATTCCAAGTCGGATAGAAACAACCAGAAGCCAAAAACAAGATGAACTCTTTTTAAAAACGAGAGTTGAGGCCGACGAAAGCTTTGTCGATTAGGAGTTCCTTTGAAGCTTTGCAGAAACACTGAAGAAAGACAGTGCCAAATGTGACCATATAATTCGTCGTTCCTCTTACAAGTTTTCTTCGTCATTTGTCTTTTCTTCGAAGTAACCTTCATCCGAAGCTCAGACAAGAAGAGGGAATGAAAAAGAGGGATTCTAGAATTGACTAAACAACCAAACGCATGAATGGAACCCAGAACGAAAGTCCAATTAGCTTGAACTTGCAAATACCGAAAAGAAAATGCAATATGCACCCTTTTTGTTGTTGAAGTAAGGACAGGGATCCCACGGATTCATGAGACTTTCCATGCCCAAAATCCATAAAATAGGTAAAACCGATACAATTCAGATTGACATCACGAGGAATAGGAGGACTAGTAAATCGAACGGAGACTTGTGTTGGAGAATCCAAAGATTTACTAACAGAACGATCGGCAAACCAAGAAGAGCTCTTCTTTTTCTGTGGAGGTGCAGACTTAGATTTGAGACAAAGGGATCCATCTTGGACACCCCATTGATGCGTCCAAACAGCTTCTTCATGTACCCAACCGCAAGTATCACCATCGTCGAAATCACAAACAGCTAGAGGTTTCAGTCTCGATGACTCCAGAGGTTCTAGCGAAGAAGTAAGAAAGAGGAAAAGGAGAGTAGATGGAACATCTTATTAATGAAAACAGAATGAAACCTCGAATCCTTACAATTCCCTTATAATAATCTCGAATTTATAACACAGAAAGAAATTGGATGAAATTAAGAAATACCCCTTTTGCTGTTGAAGTAAAGTAAGATTGCCCGAAACCCTAGCAATCTTGGAACTTTTCCCAAGATGAACTGAATATGTAAAGCCGATACATTTCAAACCAATAGAAGCCGGAACAGAGGGACTTTTGAAACGAGCTGTCACATCGGATTCAACTTCTTGTATACCACTGACTATTCCAGGAATCCAAGAAGCTTTAGGATGAGAGGATTTTGAAGGAGATTGTTTGGCTTTCAGACACAAAGAACCCTCATTAACAATCCATTGACGCCTTAAGTCAGATTCCTCATTAATCCATCCGCAGGTTTCACCGTCATTGAAATCACAAATCGCCAGCGGCTTGACATCCAGAGGCGGAGATTCTAACAAAAACGAAATTTTTTGAAAATCACTTGCTTCATCTCAAACAGAATTGCAGATTGGCTTAAATGTAAGTTCAAACCAAAGAAACATTGTAATTCGAACTCAAAGGAACTGCTAGGACAACCGACGATTGAAAATAATTACACGAACAATAAAGAAGGCCAGAGACAATATCGGAATTCGAGAAAAGGGGAGGAGATAAAGAAAGTCGATAGAGGATACCGAGAAAAGTGAGCCCAAAATATCACAGGAGGACAATAAAATACAAAATATGATCACAGACAAATGAATTATACCCCTTTTGTTGTTGAAGTAAAGAAAGAAAAGTTGAATTTTTAGCAGTCTTTAGAGTCTTCGGTTGCCCAACATTGACTGAATACGTGAAAGCAATGCACTTCAAACCAAAACTCGGTAGAACAGGAGGACTTTTGAAGCGAGTGGTAATTGCAGTTTCTGCCTCATTCGACTGAACAAATAAAGTGGGAAGCCAAGACGACGACTTAGGAAGTTTCGACATTTTTGGAAATCGTCTGGCCATTATACAAAGAGAATCTTGATCAACAATCCACTGTCGTCTCCAGTCAGTCTCTTCGTTCATCCATCCGCAAGTATCACCGTCGTTGAAATCACAAATCGCCAATGGTTTGATATTCGAGGGTGCGGATTCTAACAAAGACGAAACGCAGTTGAAAATATTTTGCTCGTACTGATTGACACCCAAAAAAACAAATAAATGAGATCAAAACCCAATAGAATCACAGTTATTGAACCAGAAACTCCCAATTAAAGAGAGATCAATGGCAGAAAACTCTTGGATACTGGAACTCAAAAAAAAAACAAGAAACTCTAGACGGATAAGAATACCAAGACATGGGCACTTTTCTGCTTCTCTAATTGTCTCATACCAAAATTTGATGGACAAGGAAGACATTCGAAGAGGAGAGTAATATCAATTGCTGGGTCTATCAAATCTGGTGGGAAACAAGGAAGCCAAGATAATGGTTAGGAGTGGAATGACTTGCTACAAAAATCCAGGGGTTTGATGTTCAAAGAAGGAGATTCGAACAGGAATGGAATAAGTCCGAAAGTTTCCCATTCGGAAAAGGTTAAATAAGAACAAAAATAGGCCAATCAACAACCAAGAGAAGAAGAAGCCAATGCTCGAATGGACACAAGAGGAAAGCCACAAGAGGACCGAAATCAAAAGAAATGATACCCTTTCTGTTGCTGAAGGAATGACAAACTAGCTGGAGTTTTGGAGTTCTTTCCGCGTCCAAGATATATTGAAAAATCATAGCCAATACACTTCAAACCAAAGGAAGGTGGAACAGAAGGACTCTTGAAACGAGCTATCACATCAGTTTCCTCTTTTGTTGATTTAGCAGATAAACCTGGAAGCCAGGAAGATGCCTCCGAATTCTTCGGTGTAGATAAAGGCTTTTTGGCTTTAAGGCAGAGCTGGCCATGCTCGATTGTCCAACGATGTCCCTGATCAGTTTCTTCACTTTTCCATCCACAGGTTCCTGCATTATTGAAGTCACAGATAGCAAGGGGTTTCGCGGAGACGTCTAACAAAAACGAAATATATTTGAATATCTACCATTTAAGTAATCATCGTGACCATCCAAATGGGTTTAGAGAAGCTATCGAAATAAGACATCACCAAAACGGATCAGTAAAGCACTACACGACATCTCTACAAAAACAAGACTCGAGATATAAGAGTTGGAAATATACCCTTTCTGTTGTTGAAGCAACGAAAGAGAAGCTGAAGCATCAACAACCCTGGAGCTCTCTTTTCGACCATGATTGATCGAGAACACAAGAACGACACATTTCAAACCAACTGAAGGCGGAACAGAAGGACTTTTAAAACGTGCGACGATATCTGTTTCATCGACTGAAGTTTCCGACGAAAGTACTGGAATCCAAGACGCTTCAGCATTTAAAGAGGGAGAGGGTTGCTTGGCTTTAAGACACAGAGAGCCTTGATCGACCTTCCAACGGTACTTCCATTCAGCTTCTTCATTGAACCATCCGCATGTTCCACCGCTGTTGAAGTCGCAGACTGCCAGCGGGTTAATTATTGGAGGTGAGATTTCTAAGAAACACGAAATAGGCCTGAATGTTTCATATGTTCTGCTTAAAAAGACATAAACTGCAGATGCTGAACTTCGGGAAAAAGGAAGATCCTGATTGCTCAGAAATGAAACAGAAGTAAAATACAGCTTTTTTCCGAAAAAGTGAAACAAATTTTGTTTCAGAGATTATCTGAAAGCGAACAGGTATAGTAGAATAAGTAACAACCAAACCGAAAACGGGAGGCAAAGAAAGTGGTCGAAAAACCACGTCATTAAACCGAGTGGAAGAATGAAACAAATCACAGAAACTCCAGACGATAGCAAGCTTAAAATTAAACGCAAAGAACCACCATACGTCTGTAATCTTAAACCAAAGGAGGAATCAAGGAGAAGAGATACCCTTTTTGTTGCTGAAGTAACGTCAAACTAGCCGAAGTATCAAGAGACTTAGAACCCTCGCTTCGAAAGTTGAACGAATATGCAAAACCAATACATTTCAGCCCAATAGATGCTCGAATAGATGGACTTTTGAAGCGAATCGTGATGTCACTATCTGTATCCTGAGATTCGGCTGCTAATTCATCCAGCCAAGAAGAGGGCCTCGGCTTTTTGGAAGAGGATTGTTTGGCTTTTAGACAAAGAGAGCCGTGGTAAATTGCCCACCGATGTCCCCAATCCGTTTCTTCACTTTTCCAACCGCATATTTCACCATCATTGAAATCACAAACTGCCAGAGGTTTGACATCGAGAGGGACAGACTCTATGAAGAATGAAAAATGCTTGATAAAGATTCCGGAGAAGGATGTAGGGGAAATATCGAAGAAAGAGGTTAGAAACACCCCACTCATATAACTTATTCGAAAATACCCAGATAGCTGAGGCCACTAATTCAATTAATGGAAGAATGTGACGCAGATAAGACAAGAGGAATCTCAATCGAATGAAATTTTACCCCTCTTGTTGTTGAAGCAGCGAAAGGGTAATAGCGGATTCAGGATTATTAGAATTTCTTTCTCGTCCAAGATTAATCGAATAGGCAAAAGTCAAACACTCCAAATTGACAGACGCCGGTACAAGAGGACTCTTGAAACGAGTTTTAACTTCGAAATTTTTCTTTGCTGACCCAACTCTTAAGCCCTTTAGCCACGAAGAGGCCTTTGGTTTTTTAACTGGAGTTGAAGATATTTTGGCTTTAAGACATAGGGAGCCCTGATTGGACTTCCAAAGATGTCCTAAGTCGGTTTCTTCGCTTTTCCAATCGCATGTATCACCGTCATCAAAGTCACAAATTGCGAGAGGTTGCAGATCCAAAGACGAGAGTTCTAACAAGAATGAAACACAGTTAAGAATTAAAATGCGACCAGGAAAGATAAGACACCAACGAAGATGCGTAATGACATAAGCGAATAAGAAGATTTCGATTGCAATCAGCAAGGAAAGTTTCAGTAACAGAATGATCTGGAAACCAGTCGATCATTTTAATCGACGGAAATTGTACTTCTTTAAAAAGGAAGAATTCTTGACCATTTTTAGACAACTTTCATAATTAAGACTGATTGAAAAAATGTAGAATTAATGCACTTTAGGAGAAGGGATGGTGGAAGAGAAGAACTATTGAAACGGAACATCACATCAATTTCCCCTCTGATCGAATGGACTGGTATTATTGAAATTCAAAATGTCTCCGACTTTAGAAAATAAGTAGATGGTCAAATGTCTTTGAGGCAGAAAGATCCTTGCTTGGAAATTCACAGTTGACTATAGTCAGGTTCTTCACATTTCCTAAGTCAAGAACCTCCATTGTTGCAGTCAAAAGTTGATAGGGGTTTAACATGCGGAGATGGAGAAAAAAAACACAAATGAAATAATTTCGAAAGTCTCAATCTCAATGGGGAGACTTCGGCACCTCGGCTACTGAAATTCGATTCTTCGAGACAAATCTTCTACCACGGAGAAAACAGACGTTATCGTCACTCCATTCGAACATTCTTGTCACCATATAAAACTGTCCTAGTAGACATGATCAAACAGAAAAGAAAAAATAGCCCAATCATCGAAAATAAGAAGAGCACTTGATAATGTAACAAGTGAACGCGAAAAGAATTGATAAAAATGGGACTCCAAGCCACAAATGAAGTGATAAACCAACAAAAAGATACCCCTTCTGTTGTTGAAGTAACGAGAGAGATGGCGAGGATTCAAACATTTCAGAACCCCCAAGATTAACTGAATAAGCAAATCTGAGACATTTCAAGTTGGCAGAAGAAGGTATAAGACGACTTTTGAAACGCGCAGTAATATCAGTCTCAGCTTTAGGTAAGTCAACGGAAAAGCTATCGAACCAATCCCCGGATTTCTGTGTATTCTGTACAGAACCAGAAGATGGCTGGTCTGTGAGGCATAGAGAACCTTGCTCAGGTATCCATCGATGGCCCGAATCGGTTTCTTCGCTTTTCCATCCGCATATTCCACCATTGTTGAAGTCACAGATTGCCAGGGGTTTGATGATCGAAGTTGATAAATCTAGCAAGAGGACGAAACAAGCTTGAAAGTCTCTCGTTCGAATTTAACAACTTCACAAATTACTGGGAAGCTGTGCCCTCAGGAAGCCTCTGAAAATATTTTGAGGAAATGAATACCAGGAACAAAAGTCCAATAGATAAATAAGGCCTTCAAAAGAAAAACTCTGAAAATCAAAAGAAACTAGAAACAGAATGAAGAGGCAGAAGAAGCATATTCCAGTAATGGAAAGCGGGATAATTTTAAAAAAAGCCAAAGATACTCTTTCCGCTGTTTAACCACTCATTAAAAATTTCGATGTTTCAGAAGCCCTCGAACTTTCAAGTCGATCAGGATTGATGGAATAGGCAAAGTTTGCACACTTCAAACCAACAACATCAGGTATAAGTACACTTTCGAAACGATTTGTGATATGTTAGCTTTTCGGTGAATGATCGAAACCAGAAATACCACAATTCATTAAACCATCCAATCAGTCTCATAACTGCTCCAGAGAAGATCGCCTCTTTAGTCAAAATGGTAAATTACTAGAAGGTGGAAAGTAGGATATTAGCGCAATTTAAACGTGTTTGAGTAAGTCAAAATCACAAAAAAATTAAACTAAACAGGAAGAGAGGACTATTCTGATCGGTAAAATAAGTACCAGGAAAGGATTGCTAGTAAAGTACAAAGGAAACGGTTTTGAATAAAAAACCACTCAATATAAACTCAAACTCTATAAGAGGGAAATACCCTTTATGCTGTTGAAGCAATGAGAGAGAAGCTGGCATTTCAACAATTTCGGAACCCCTTCCAAGTCCAACATTTAACAAATAGGCAAAGCCAAGACATTTCAAAGAAACAGAAGGTGGAATGAGAGGGCTTTTAAAGCGAGCGCTGATATCATTTTTCGCTGAGAGCTCAACAGATATCCCTTGGAACAGGAAAGTTTCTTCTGACTTTATTTCAGGAGTTGAAGTTTGTCTGGCCTTAAGACAAAATGACCCAAGGTCGGGTGTCCAACGATGACCCAAATCCGATTCTTCAATTTTCCAACCACATGTTCCACCCTTATTGAAATCACAGATTGCCAAGGGCTTAATGGTCGGGAATTCGAATTCTATCAAAAGACGAAAGGGGCTTTAGTATTTCTCATTAAACAGACCAAATTAGACAAATGGAAAAATAAATCAAGCAATATAGCTCAAGAACTTGGAATAAAAAAATAGACTTTGGAAACATTAGAATAGACATAAATCAAATATACAAAAATATGAAAAGAATGGGTCAATCGAAAGATACTCCTTTTGTTATTTAAATACAAGAAGATAAGGGGAATTGCCAGCAGAGTGAACTCTTTGTAGTCCAACAGCAGCTTCAATTAGTGAACTCTTGAAAGGCGTTGTTTTCTTCTGACCATCCTGCTGAAAATTCTTGAAATTGCGATAAATACTCACGAATTTTAAGCTTCAGCGACAATTCAATAACTTTAAGATAGGTAGGTCGGTTTTGATGCATCCAAAGAGCACTCTTCAGTATGCTTTCTTGTTAATACACTCGCATGATTTCTGCCATTGAAGTAGTAAATTGCCAGGGATTTGAGAACTTGATATAAGAATTTCGATAAAATCGAGAAAATTCGAAATAAAACTCGACCATATGAAGCCCCATTGATGTAGAAGGAGTTAATATTTACTTAAGAGGAAGTAGAAAAGAAAAACCAAACTGCACTCTAGATGTGACTTTTTGAGAGAGACACAAACGAATAAAGTAATCAGAATATTCGAAATTAAAAGAGAAAAAATATCAGCAGGGTCTCACAATGACGCTTTTAAATCGGGACAAAGGCAGAAGCATAGCTTCAAAAAAGTAAACAAAAGAAAAATCGATTAATGAAGCAAATTGAAATTTTTACTTACGTTGAAGTAGGAACAGGGCAAGAGGACGAAGTGAGAAATTAGTTCAAAAGGAAAAAAATTGAGACGAGGAATGAATTTAAAAAAAGCACCATCGTGAAATAGACGAATCCCATAAATGACACAAAAACACAAATCCATAATCAAACAGCCAGAAATTCCGTTCGTTTCTGACGAATAAATAAACAGGGAAAGAAATGAGTAAGATATTAAGCACCTATTCAATCGTTAAAACATGGGGAGTGTTAGAGATTTTTTAGATACTCCCTGAACAGTGCCCAAGAGTAGGAACAAACAAAGGCTCTCTATTTAAACCCTACAGCGGCATTAAGAGAGGGGCATTTAAGATGAGTCAAGTCAGCTTCAACACTTGATGAATAGCCTGATCAGTGTTGCAACCACGAATGATGGAACACAAGAGGGTTAAGACTTCAAACAATTGGGTCCTTATTCTGACTGCCAAAGATGTCCAAGATCCGTTACTTCACGGATCAATCTGCAATTTTCACCATTGTTTAAGTCACAAAATGCCGAGGTGGGGAGCTGGTGCCCAGAAACAATTTTAACGAATATGAAACAAGCTTGAACGTCTGTCGTTAATGCAAAATGGCGTTCCAGGATCAGAAAATAAACGATTGAAACTCAAGAACTGATAAAAAGACTCGGACAATAAACTACAGTAAAGTGCACACAATCAGGAGAAAGGAAATCAATGGTCATAGTTACTCTTCCTGCTGTAGTAGCATAGACAGCCTGCAATTATATCCAGTCGGTTTCCCACTCCCTGAATAGAGAGAATAGACGAAACCAATACACCTCAGTCCAAATCCAGCAGGAACAGAAGGACTCGTGAATCGAACACGGATGTCTGATGACTGCTTTCGGGAATCCGTTGTAGATAAACCAGGAAGCCAAGATGAGATTTGCTTCGAATGCGTAGTCTTTTTTGGCGTAAGACAAAGAGCTCCGTTACCAGCTGACCAACGGTTTGACCAAGCACCTTCTTCATTTAACCATCCACAGGTATTTCCATCATTGAAATCACAGACCGCTAAAGGTTTAACCACCACCGGAAGTGATTCTAGCGGAAAGAGGAAAAAAGAAAGAAGACAGGGTTCGAAAAGTATGCACTACTACTGGATCCGAAAATACTTAAAAAATTGAAAAAAAATAAGCAATCTGACACCCTACTTGCTGCAGAAATTGAGTCAACCTTCCAATAAAAGAAGTCACCGATCAAATAAAAGATTGTCAGATATGCAAAATTAAACCCTTTGGAAATAAGGGGACAAGTGGGCCCGATTCCAGGGTTGCTAATTGTTACGGTTGCTTGAACGACATGTTAGGTAACAAAATAGAAATATTCATTGAGCTGTACCTCAACCTCGTTGGACCCTCATCAAAAGTTCTAGAAGACATCTTTACGCTCCCATCAACAGGTTTCACGTTATAAAATCATATAACACTAGAGGTTTCAAGTATATGATACTGGGTACGTCAATCAAAAACGAATAGGAAGCGCAAAGGAAACATAAACCATAACAACAGAGTAGAAAAAAAACAAGAAGTCCGCGCTTCTCAAGAGAAAAAAACCTATGACAAAACAATTTCATCAAAAATAGAATCCATTCACTTTATATTAGAGTGAAGTTGTAAGACATTTTGAGAAAATGAAACGAAAATCACCCTTCCAGTTGTTGAAGCACAAACGAACTGGGGAAATCAATCGAATTGACAAGGGATAGATAGTAGACCCCAAGAACAGTTGCAATTTGAGAATTGGTAAAATAAACACGTAATTTAGTGGAAGTCTTCATCTTTAGACCACTTGAAATAGACGAAATAGAAAGTGGTTTCACGTTGATAGAAGCTGAAGGTGAGTGAAACTAAGAGAATCCCTTTAGATATTTCATCTTTGAAGCCAATCCGCATCTTCATACACCGAATCACAGGTATAATTGCCATCGAAATCACGATTCGGCAGATATTCGATAGTTATGTATCGGCGGCTCTAGCGAAACAGAAGCAAAAAGAAGAGAGGACGGCAATTTCGATAATAAGCATTTAGATTTGCACCAAACTTTAAGCAATCATAATTCATATCGTATTAGATGAATCATATAAATGGTATGAAAAATTCCTCAAGCAAAAATCAAGGAAACGAATAAATGTACCTCGAAGTTCCATGTACTAGGAGCGGATAATTAAAAGTTCATGCACGCCCAGTCCACATAAAATACAGCTCGATATTGATCGAAAGTAAACCGAAATGTCAGATAAAAGTTCACAGAATACAGTAAAGACATAAATATCTTTGAACGACGTAAATTGTTTGCGAGACGATGGGTAAAAAATGAGGCGAATGTAATGCACATAATGTAAAAATAAGCTCCAAGGAAATTTACCTGAGGCAAAAGCCCAACCGCTTAGGGCAAGTAAACAGAAGGCAGTGACAATCTAAAAATAGAAAAACCCATTTTGGTGTTTCGTAAATGATAAAAAAATTAAAGAAGCGCCATACAAATAAAGAAATATGTAAAGAATTTCAAAGAAGCAACAGAATAAGAAAATATATTAAGACAGAGTCCTTCAAAATTAGATTTCATTAAGTGAAAAAATAAGCTATTATAACTCAAATCTAATTTATGAGCATGAATTAAATACTGAAAAATCAAAACGTCAGGAAGTGTTGACCCTACCAAACCATGGCGAAAATACCTCACAATTAATTCAAAAAATATATATAGCAAACAGATGAGATTTTGAATGGCTTACATTAACCATCTTTTCAAGATATATCTCAAAACGTTATCAAAGATCGACAATCCAAAAAATGCGGTGAGAATAAAAGTCGAGCTAAATATTTTCCCAAGGCTGTATATGACCCAATTAATGCATTTATGGATCAAACGCTTTATATTTAATTATTTATTTTATTTTCAAAATCTTGCTTTAACTAATGCTATTTAAGCACCTACAGAGTTGCCGTTGTTGTCACGTCCATGATTTTTAATTAACTTATTGCATAAAGTTATTACAAAGTTTAATTCATTCTCTATATATATATATATGCATACGTATCATTACGGGATTTAAAATCCTATTAAAGTTTTGCTACCACAATAACAACTCTAATTGTCACTGATTCTATTATGAAAGGGATTTACTTCCATCACATGCCTTGGAGAAAGGACCATTTATTTAGACCTAAGAATAGCCCAAACTTAAATAAAATACCCTTTTTAATCTCCCTGATTTATAAATGGTACATATATTACCAAACACTAAAAATAATTTCATCGTTTTTCAATTGATTCAGATTAAGAGAGTTATTTTCAATTAACCCGTTGCTATAATTCGATGCTTAATCGCCATTAAGATAATAATGTTGCTTCACAGTGAATGTCAATATGATTTCTATTTATACATTATTCATCTCCACTGAGAGCAACTTTGGATGAAATATTCCTTTCGTATTATTATTTTTCAGTGATTTATAAAAAAAAGTAGTTTGACAACCGTTAAACCAAGGTATGAAAAACTTAGTTAGTTCAGCTTCAAAATGAAATGTATGTATATATTTGAGTTTTTAACACATTTAACGTAAATAGCGCATTTATGCTCTCCATAGTCAAAGCGCAATGGCTTCAATTGAGTACTGAGATTGTGAAAGTTGGCAATGCATGGGACTTAAATGTTTAGCAATGAAAATGACAAAACAAAGTACCATATTCGCGACTTCCTTAAAATACTTGGGTTGAAAAATTAAAACCTAAGGGAAGACCAATAATTTTGCCTGTTACTGAGCTAGGAAAAAATACGTCTTTAAGTTTTTGGAGTAGGAATCAGATAAGCAAACAAATTTTAACTTACTTTGAATTTGAAATTTCATCATTGATCTCATATAGAAATGTATATTTGCCTATTGTCTTGTGTTTCATCTCCTTGAAAACATTTCTTTATAGATATGAAATATTATGTAAAATAACAAATACCTAATAATTTGTAATGCAAGATAATTTCTTCAAACACTTTATGATATAGAATATTCAATATTGGCAGATTGCCATTACTTTACCTTTTATTAGCTTGAATTGCCTTGTAACTCCCAATACTCACAACGTTTACAATGACCAGTGAAGAAAAACTACTGCTAAAGCAAATTAAAATTTCATATTTACAATTTTCTTTCAGTGTGACACGGTCCGGGGAAGGTGCTATGGGAAGATAAGCTTGCATATTCTCTTCAACTTCAACCCTCTGTTATCGGCAGGGCTTTTAAAGATAGCATGCAATCATTTCTTATGATGTCGAGGTCTATTGTGGCTCTTTCAAAAGGTGTTGAAATCCACAAATGGTAAGAAATCATCCTATTTATGAATAAATAAATTAAATTTGCTGGATATCATTATGTCTTGTCGCAGATGATTTTGTAGTCATGACTGATGTATTTTCAGTTAACTAAGTGCAGCCACGCTCATATATAGCTGAACTTCCTGTGATTGCTCTATTAGAAATCATTTATAACCTCTGTCCTATTAATTGACATATATTTTCTAAATACAAGACCAAGCTTTGATCAGTCATGATTCTGCCTTATCTCTTTGGTTTCTTTCCAAGGATCTTCAGAAGACTGTAGAGAATTTGAATAGCCCATCGTAAGTGTTATTTTTGATTAAGGCATGCGATGAATGTTTTATGTAAGAAGATTCGTTTTTTGCTTTCAAAAACCTCTTTTAGATAAACCTATATTAGTAATAATGCAGCTGGTACACCTTTTAGAAAGATATGCCGATTTCAAAATATAATATGAAGGAGTAATACGTAGCATGTTTAAAAAGACAACAGAAAGTTAATAATGAAAAAAACAACCTTGAGTGTCCTTTTGACTTTTAGTGAATTTTTGCGCCAAAAATAAAAAGCCAGATCAGAGTGTTGTTCACGTTTTTCGGTTTTGTGTTTCATTTGTAAATTTAACTTAACCATATTTTGATATTTTTTATGTCGATTGCCTAACAATTTTTTCCATTTTAAATTGCTTCTTACCAGGTTAATTTTTGGGTCGTGCATCTGCCTGCTTAAGGATCTATTATTTTTACATAAGTTCGAATACCTCATGAGATGGTGTACGGACGTGATCCACGTTTAAGACGCAAAGAAGAAGAGCAATTAACATTTAATGTGTGACCTAATTTTGGCAATTTTTTTCATCTTTCTGTTTTTTATTATACATTCCTTTTCTCAGGTTCTATCCAATTCCCAAACTGAAAATCAGCCACAAGCTCTTCTTAATGAACTAAAAGTCAGGACCGATGTTGAATCAATCGATTGCAGCTCCAGTATGATTACATTATTATTCAATAACTTTTGTTGATATAGCTCCTGACGCTGTAACTCCGAGCACTGGCTGCTCGGTAAGTTAGTTCCAATTGTGATTTGTTTAATTAATCATGTTCGTTATTTCACATTCGTTTTTTTGATCAAGCTTACACCGACTGTGCTAAATGGTCCTACCGACTCTGATTTGTCGGTTACTACCAAAGACGGTATGTAGGTTTGATAACTCCCTTTATTTGCCAACTAGGATGGTGCTATACATCAGTTTCCTTTTTATTTTAGTCCCTACTGAAGTTCTCCTCTTGAATGCCTGTACAATTGGAGATTGTGACGAGGTGGTTCGAATTCTTGCCCTCCCTGAACCTCCAAACGTTAGTCAGAAGTATCTTTACTTCGCGGCCAAGGGAGGTATGAAATGCCTTTTTATACACCTTTCTTAGTTATTTTCATTTTGGTGGTAGCTAGATTTTTTTACTGAAGGTATGATTTGAACTAGCGTTTTTTATAAGTAGGATGTAAAAGGTAGTGAACTTTCTAATATTCCTTTTTTTCCTGCTTTGTTCGAAGACTATGGTTTTAGCTCCTTTGTCTCGCTAATTAAGTAGCACCGATTTCGACCGCAAGACTACTTTAAACAGCTTAATAACCTAGGTTTATTTCGTTTGGAGTCCAATGGTCTTCTTTACAGTAACAGGATTTGATGCATCATGTAGATTGGGGAGTTGAGCTGGGGGGTCTTTGTATTAGGCATTGGTGGACAAGTGGTAGAATCGAAGTTTGAATGGCTTTGCTTGGCATTAGTGGTATAATAATCGAACTTGGTGGTTATTTGTTGCTTTATTGTAAATCTTAGTTGAGTGAATGATTAATTTGGTGGTTGTTTGGTAGACAAATGGAGTTAATAGTTAATTTTCAAAAATAAGCACATGGATTCAAGCGCATTTTTGCAAATGCTTCTAATTTATTAGAAGTTAGACCGATTTTAGGATTTTATGAAATGATATAAGCGTTTGTCCAGCGAAAATAGCAGATTTCTTGTTGTCTCTTTATTTGTGAAAATTTTTTACCTTTCACGTCCTGTACACTTCTACTATTATCTTGCTTGAGTTAAATTTGCCGAATTAGTAAATACTGTTATTCATCAAATCTGTGCTTTCCGTTATGCCAGTCATAGGCGCTACATCATTAGCACAAAATTCTCTTGAATTGCCCATTGTGGGTAATGCAATTTTCAGTTGAGTCTGCACACATAAAGTTGCAGCATATGAATCTGATTCATGCTTATAAATTTTTTGACCGTTTTCTCCATACGAGAAATAGACTGAGAAGTTAAGTTTATTGGGTCATAGTGATCGGCGGATCTTTCAAGCCCTAATATATATCATTAAGTCTAAATTTGTAGTTAAAGTGAACACCAGTCTAGTTTTTGTTCTTTGAACTTTCCAAATTTCATTTGAACTACTATTTAGGCTCTTATCTCTTCAATTGAATTGTTCCACGATTTAGTACTTTACATAAGTTCGAGTTTGGGTTTCTTAGTTTAAGTCGTTCTTGATACTAGAAGCAACCCCGTTATAGACAATTTCGCAACGTAATTGTACAGATGATGGTTTCTTTCATTGGTCTCCATATTTGAAAATAATGTTGGCTTGTCATCTCACTTCAGGACTCTACTCTTCTATCAAATTTGGAAGGATTTCCTTTCAGAGGTAGATACCTTGTTAGCAGATGTACTCCTTCTAAGCTTAATTGCAAGTCCCAAAGTTCAAATAAACGTTTTAGATATTTGATAATGTTAACGTGAAGGCCTAGGCCAGTTTGTTGTAGTTCTAATAATTCATTTCCATTTTAAAGCCGCGTTTGTGGATTTGGTGCTTTTGTGAAAAACCAACCAGTTCTGATTATGCTATTTTTTCTCCCAGTTCAATTCCCGCCTGTTTACTTTTCATATTTTGTGCTTGGTTGGTTGGCTTTTAGAGTTTCTATTTACTTTTTTCACTACATTTTTCCTTTTTAAACGTAGTAGCTCCGGTTCCCAATCTCACTTTTCACCTTTTACAGAGGAGGCGATTCTCTATTACTGTTTTCCATCATGCAACGTGTTAATTTTAATTACCACTGTCCCTTATTCTTGGGGCTCCTTCCTTCTTCGTTGTTTACTTTATCACTTTTTACTGGCGGAATTGAATTTTTGCAAATTCGGCGAGCCAATTGTATTCGCCTCTTATTTTAATTCTGCCTTACGACAATCAAAGTTGTAATATTCTGTCATATAAGTACGTTGGTGGGGTGTTGGTCACTGCGCATGTCTGCTATTTCAGAGGCCATAGGTTCAATTCCCATGGAGTGAGTGGAATGAACAATCTACTTGGTTAAGTCGGTTAAGTATAGCGTGTCTGAAGTAGCGTTTCGCCTTAGGCAAGCTCATGATGCCACTAATTAAGGATGAGCTTTGAAAATTCCTTTTGTAAATAAGTTTGAATTTTTATTAGTATGTATGCATTTACCACATTTAACCCTGTTTTTTTCGCTTATCTAAACACAACAAACATTTATCTCAATGAGGTTTATTTATCTCGAATGGCAGGCATTTTGATAGTTATCATTAGC